ATTTGTGCGTGTTATCGTGTGTTCATAGGTGGTCGAGTCCGGCAGCTTTCTCTGTTGACAGAGAGATTCAGAGCGGAGAGGAACTCATCCTGATTCTACTCTGTCCAGCAGTGACACTCTGAATGCGTCGAAGGACCGATCCATATCCCATGTGGATCTCCGGAGACCTCCGTGCTGTACACGGGGAACGATGTGCGAAGGTTATTGTGTGAAGAGCATGTTTCAGCTCATTCTTGCGGTTTGTTCGGGAAAGCCATGAAAGGCATTATCGACAACATATCGATGGAATATCTATAGCACTGGCCGCACGATTGACCAACATTTCTGCTGGGTGTGCGACGGCCAACAATCAAAAAGCACACTGACCGAATAGGTACCTTGCTGACGTCGGCAGAAAACTTTTGCCGCCGTTTTCTACATGGTTGTCCCGTGCGGAAAGATTGGCCGATTGAGACCTTCTGTTATGGACAGAGAAGAGGGGGAAGAAAACGCATGTCTTGTCCCGAGATACGCCTCTATCTTTTTAATTGAGGGAGCGTAAGTGAATTCTCCTGTTTCGCGATGTAGCGCCCGCTTGCAGATAGCGAGTCAAGCTTAAGTTTGAATTGTTCGTCAGTTTGTCGTGAGATAACGAACAAGGGAAAAGGGTTCTTGTCCGTACGTGGTGGCGCAACAATAATTATTTTGTGAAATTATGCAGAAAGCAATTGAAGCCACCTGCCTTGGATCGATAGCGTCTTTTTAGACAACAGCGAGACGCAACCCAGCCTCAAGCTAGATATGACAAAGTATTTTACTTGGAGCGAATGGACACTGGCATACTTGCGTAACACCCATATCGTGTCATTTGCATTTTCCTTTCGTGTGGGAATTGACGTGCTCTGAGCAAGTCATAGAATTCAGAGCAAATGCACTGAACACTAGAGTTGTGATCTGAGTTTGCACGAAATTCCGAATGCACAAGGACTGTATGCCTCGACGAATTTCCGAATTCTTCCGCGCCCGACTCACATGTTTCCGGAGACCATCCCCCCCATATGCACCTCGTGCCTCTGGCCCTACGTCTAATGCGAATTCGAAGGCGAATTAACTCTTAGCGTTCTTCTTCAGCGGTTGATTTATGCTAATTTCATGAGACTTCAGTACAAATGTTTGTTCGTCGAGCAGCGTCCCGCTACGCTATGAAATTTAACTCAATTCCGCTGGGCAGTTACGTTGCCGAGGCGAGTCAACTGATCTCCACCTGAGATATTCGGTCGCCCTGTACCTCCATCTGTCTCTCATTTCCACGACCGATCGATGCCCAGAAGAGCGCAATAATCGTTTGTTGGCGAATTGAATTTGAAATAATTTACGCGGTCCCATCATTACTCATCGTTATCGGCAGTTGACATCGTCGGACAAGGAGCTGTGAAATCGAACACTCTGCTCGCTCCTCTGCGAGTCTTTCCTCTTCAACAGTCCAGCTACTGCTGCTGGTACTGTGGACAACGAAACTTCTGTGTCATGCTGAGCTGCGTGATGCTTTTCGGCGAAATTAATAGATAAATACAATATCTGAGCTAGCTACAGTTTTTCGATCAACGCGACTGCGGCCAAGTAGATCAGGCCACACCAGCCCGGGTGTCTGTCGAGCGAACGAGATACCCCACTGCTCTGAGCGGTCTGAACGTCATGGTGCTGTCTCGTGCGGAGGGTCAGTGGCTCGACAAGAAATAGAGGATGAGATGCTCAGGACTGCTCCGAAAAGAATTCCAGCAGAGTGTCTCACTCTTCCCGTCTCCCTGATACTACTTCAACCATTTATTAACTGTTGACCAGTTTATATACCTAATTTAAATATACGAGATTTACATCAACATGGACAGCGACACTTTCTTCGTGCAATGCCGAAGATGATCTCACTGATACACCTCTATTCAGCGATCGGGCGAGCGACCACGTGAGAGCCGTTGCTGATGAACGTCTTTCATGCTCCACCGTACTCTATTCGCTGTTCACTTCACGACTTCGGTAAAGTCGGTGAGCGTTCGATTTTTTCAGCCCGAACGATTCACCTATATCACCAGATCCTGCACCGGAAGGAAGATACTCGAAACATTGCTCATGCAATGTTTCGGGACAGTTTACGTTCAGCAATTCCGATCTAATCGTAGCGGAGTTTTCGTAGAGAAGAATTCTGTCGGTGACGATTATTCTTATCGGGTTTTCTCCACACTAGCGTGGGATATCGCTGCATATATTTTCCGAGAATGGGCTAGTCTACGGCGCGGCGTATAGTACGAGTCATATCTGTCCCTGATCATTATCGTCCGATGGGAAGCGATGAATCCTCTCTGAGGTAGGCTCGAGTCCCGCTCGGAGGCGTTACTACGAGGAAAGTACCTTACCCGGAATCCGGTCACCAGACAATGATCCACTCGAATAGCAGGACAGACGATTCTCTGGCAGTAGCTCTTGATATGCTGATGTTCTTTATGGCGGATCGATGAGAAGGGAGCGATAGACGGATACTAACGGTCGTCGACAGTCGGAATGACAGCGAGCGTCACCGATCTGCGGAACGAAAACGTGCATGCTGATTTATCAGGTGGTCCGGGGAAGCCGACGCATGCTTGATATACAGCCAGCTAGAAAAGCAAGTGAGTAAGCTGCGATCCTGACTGATAAAAGTTTTTCAAACCTTCCACGTCCTGAAAGTTCTTAAAAGCAGATTTATTGTTCGACTGCTGTCGCACTATCGCAGCTGAAGAGAAACGATGATCTGTAGCTCTTTAGAGAACGATAAGGAAATTGTGAGTCAAAGCAGACGGAATCAAACCGAATCGAAAAGGAACGGAGAGTATCCGACCCTCGAAATATTCCACGCCGACTTTGACAAACAGTTATGCGGACCGCCTTGTCCTGTGGACCCTGGCTCCCCATTCGACTCGAGGAGGCCCAAGCAGTGCCCTCCTCGTGCCGTCATCTTCCAGGAGCGATAATATCCGCTATTTCAATGACCGGAGTCCTATTCTTCCTTCGCAACATGCTGTGATGCCTCGCTGTGTGTTCCTTGAGGGAACGGGCTCACTGAACTTCCTTCGGTGACGCGCGATCGATTCGACGGGCTCAAGCTTCACGCTCCGGGTACATATCAGCGTAGTCGAACGCTTCCCTGTACTCCATTTCGAGTTAGAGATCGGAGGAAGAACGAGCTTGGAAGTATCGTTGCGTCCGGGAAAGAATCCGTTTGGACGGCTACAGCGGCGCGACTCTCTTGATTGTCTGCAATGAGCCCCACATTGAATACGACATCTCTCAGCAAGGAGTCGGACCTACATCGCTGAGTACTCGAGGAGCTTTTCGTCGTGAATTCTACCCTCCCCCTCCAAGCCCGGAGCCCTGTTTTCCGGTGTTCGAGGTGCGAACACATGCGGGCAGCAGATTTCCTCAATTGCTCTCCGGTCGGGAAGCTCTGGAATCCGTGTACGCCCAGTCCCAGTCAAACCCAAAAACGAGGGAGCTTTTTCGACAGTACACAACAAACTGTTGCTTGTTTTATTGTTTTTTTCGAGGTCTTTTTCGGTTTTTTTCTCTCTCATTATACTTCATTCCTATCTTTGTTGTCGTGATGATGGTGGAATTGTCGGTGTTCCCGATCCTTTCCTATCAGACCGGCCAAGCGAGCGGAGGAATGAACGTCGACTGACGGCACGCCGACGGCTGACCACCGTTCGATTCTTTCTCCCGTGGTCAGTTTTGTTGACGTCGCTGCCGTTGCCACCACCAACACCATCGTCGTCGTCGTCAGTCGGTCGTTCGCATTTAATCTTTCTCCTTGCTCGACTGTCTGTTTTCTTTCTGTACAATAGATCACTAGAGTGAACCTTATTCCCACCAGCTGGTCTCGCGTTTCCGACCAGGGTCCACATCTCTGCGTCGGATTGAGAGACCCGCGGGGAACTTGAATGCCGACGGTAGATCTACCGAATTCGGCAGGTTCTGACAATCATGTTGATGATGAATATGTACAAAACAATTGATTCGTCTCAAGGAATTCTCTCTCTATGTACAGCATCGACAGAAAAATATAGCGGCAGTAGCGGCAGAAGCAAGTTTTCTTCCTAGTTCTCCTTTGTATTGAGCTCCACAGGTGTCTCACCTCGATCGTCCCCGTCGTTTCGAATAATTCCTTCTGCTTTAGTGTAATCGACTCAATCGAGTTCAGTCCTCCATTAGGAAGACATATGGATGATACGAATCCATAGTGTTCGATTCAATCGGTCGTAGGTGCTGAAGAGGAGCTAGTACGAAAATCGAAAGTAGACGTCGTATTAGATGTAAAAGTAGAAAGTGATGATCATCGGAGAGAAAGCTCAAAAGGTGCTCGAAGTGATCCGTCGTGAAATTTGTGCTATTTACATTCAGAACGAAACTTCTCCGCGCTTTCTCAGTGAGTTGTAAGATGTGAGCTCAATGGGACCGTACAAATATTTCGAATTCTAAATCCTCATTCCAATTCTCTTGCCTTGGGGAACTCGGGGGAACTTTCCGCTCTGACTTGGTGGCATTTCCATCCATCGATTTCATACAGATCGTCTGAACCACACTTCTCCGTCATTACCATCTCCATCTTAATCGTACAAAGGATTCAGAGGAAGCCGTAAGAAAAGCTGCTCGCTAAGCGACTTGGAATTGTTGAATCTCGCCCTCTCATTTTCAAAATCTATACCACGAACGGTTTTGTTGATGGTGGTTGTAATGGTCGTTTCAGTATTTACAGATCTTTGTACAATCGTCTCGGTGGACGACAAGGAACAATAAATAAACAAAATTTGCGCTGAATAATAAATACTGGAGACGTCTATCATTGGCGGCGCATCGCCTTCCAGCTCTTTCCGAGCGTTTGCTGTGGACCGCGGCTGTCAGAAAGTTTTCTTCCAGAGGAAATTCTTTCTCCTCTTCTGCTCCGGTGTCCCCGACTAATTTTCTCGTCCTCCCCGTTGTCGCTCGATTGATTATCGTTCGTCTCTCAGTCAATCTGATCATTTTCATGAACGAGGGAATCCATCCTCGCTGATATCGAGCGCCGTATTTCCTTCCGTGGCGCAAGATTTCAATGTGCGGTGATTCCTCGCTCCGAATTTTCTTCTGAATTTTCATCCATCGGATTCATGTTCAGTCTTCATGAGGATGTGTAGGCCATGCCGCTGCCACCTCAATGCGTGCCCATTGGTCTCGTCTCCGTATCACAACAGTATGTACATCGACTTGTTGTTCGATCGCCGACGACGATCGCGACTATCTCCCCCTTCTCTCACAGTGCCGGTTCAGCTTCAGCAATCCTTCTCATCGGAACCATCTCCGCAGGAGTCGAAGCCATCGCACCAGACCTCCTTTGGAACGCATCTACCGTTCGCACATTGTCTGAAGTTATCCCCGGCACAGAAGGCATCACAATTCGGAGGCTCGTCGCTCGTATCGCCGTTAGGGCAGTCGACGAAACCGTCACAGAAGAACGTGCGCGGTATGCACGTCGCTGCTTTTTCGCAGCGGTGCTGATCGGGAGGACACAGACAGTTTTCTTCGTCCGTTTCGTCCCAGCAATCGATGACGCCGTCGCAACGCTTCTCGATGGGCAAGCACGAGGTGGAATTCCCACAGCGGAAGTGTGTCCCGGACTCGACGCCAGAGCATTCACAGTCGCGTTCGTCGCTAGAATCGTAGCAGTTCGTGTGGCCGTCGCAGCGGTTCGTGTTCGGGATACACTGGCTATTTCCGCACCTCCACTCGTCTGCATGGCAACCTGTAACACGAAAAAGTAAGGGCTTAGTTTGAATGTTCCACAAATATTTATTCCTTCACTATCAGTGACCGTCATCGGCTGGGCCTGTTGTTAGCCTTCTCGTAAAGATCCCCTCTCTAGATTACTGGATGGTGATGGCGACGACGGCGGGAACACCAACAATAAAACGATTAAATTCCTCGACGAACGATTAAAAATCGAGAAGACGACTCTCGGTCACTCTCATCGAGACTGAGGACAGTGTCGCGAGGTTCGTGAATATGTTGTCGAGGGGAGCGGATCCGAACCCTCTTCTTCTTCCCGTCGAGTCACCCTCATCCACCGCTCCATCCCCACATTGTTTCCCACTCCCCCCCCCCCCAGACTCACTTCGCGGGACAGCTCAACGTCTTTGGAACAAGAGGAAAATCGAATGAATCTTACCTTCTGTCGGGGGGTCGTTAGCTCGCGCCTGATTTGAACCTTCTGGAGGTTGGGGCTTCGGTATGTTGCTAGGAGGCGGCGTCGGCGGAGCTCTGCTGTTGCGATGGGGATCTTCGGTGGTAACTCTCGCCTCCGGAGGGCACTTGCACTCCTCGAATTCTACTTCCTTGCCACCGAGGCAGAGATCCCCTTGCCTCTGTGCGAGACAGGTTCTCCTTCGGGAACGGACGCAGATCTGATCCGTCCGAGTACATGTCGACCAGGAAGACCAGGGCGACCATTGAGCCGAGGATGGGGGCGTCGGGGTCATGCTCACCGTGTTGACCGAACGCACCCCAGAGAACTTGAGCGAGCGTATGTCGACTTGGAAGCCGGCGGGCAGGTGTCCGTGGTCCTGACGTAGGACTCCGTAGAACGCACGCCCCACCTCCGGTAACGAAACTTTCCTATTGAAGAATAGCCGCGTCTGAACGAGCAGACCTTCTTTGAAACTGAGCACCTGAGTGTGATTGTAATCGCCGGACAGCTTTCCCAAGTAAAACAATTCGTCCATCTGCAAATAATCAAAAGCGGCGTTTAGTCGAGTGGCTTGTTTCGTCGGCTCGAGCACACATGTTCGGCGGACTCTGAACAGAACACGCACATCGTCCTCCATATGCGGAACGAATGTACTCAGAGACCACGATGGGACGCAGCCCCGACACCGACGGAACGGCGGCGACGGAACCGGGATCGATCTATGGACCGACCGCCCGATCGTCCGCGCGCCTCGGAGTCAGTCTCAGGAGGCTAACTCAGTATTTCAGAAAACAGACATTGTGCTGATAACGCGATGATTGTTTTTCTTTTTCTGCTCATAATCAGAGCCACTGCACGAATCGTCTGTGGTTTTCGCGACGATATTCTATGACAAATAGAGACCGAGAGCGTAAACGAATGTCCGAGATGAAAGAACACACTCACCGCTCTCTTGACTTCAGAGGCGAGGCTCTTGAACGGGAACCCGTTCGGGTTCTGCAGTTCAGACTGGAACCGCTTGTTGACGAGCCGGAAGCTGGCGTCCACGACGTTCCACGTTTGCTGCATGTGCGAATGAGGAATATTCATTGACTCGAAGTCATCCAGTTCTGGGGGAGGCTGCTGGTAGTGGAACCTCGACGAAGAACCGGTTGGAATGACTACCGGAGAACTGGTCCGTTTGTCCTGATTCTGGGCGATACCTGGAATTCGATTGAGAGATATGTCAGATCTTCTCCTCGACGTTCGAGCGGCGTAATCTTCAGCGTCTCGCTCTCGTTTGCTCTGAGTGAGAGAAAGAGCTCCATCTGACCACCGAAGATAAAAACCGAAGATGGACCGTCAATTTAGGAATGGACCGGTTGATCATTCAATCGAACTATTCTCAAGACTCGGCTATAATGAAGCAAGATCGGGTTGTCTGTGTCTTCATGTCAGAAAACAGACCTAATCAGTGCCGCTAATGGAGCATGTCAGTTGGCTGCTGTGTGTCTGCCTGATTCGCATGCTTAGAGAAGCAGATCGTCGTCATCGTATTATAGCAGTTGGAAACACAAGGTCCCGGACGCTCGTGGGAGGACAGAAGTCAGAGGAGGAACGGGGAAGAAGAAAAAGAAGAACAAGAAGAAAAAAAACGAAACGAAAGCAGGCCCGACCGGCTCCGCCGTTAGCGTAGATGGCAGGAAGGAGAGCAAGCGACCAGGCGCCCCGTCAGACAGTCGAGCGTTCCACAAGAAGGAAACATGAATCTTTTACTCGAGCACACGAAGGAAAGTGAAGTCCCCAGAGGGCGCGCAACACTTGGAATTGCAGTAATGTGTAACCAATGCACAGCTTAACCAGTGGGCCATATCGCCCTGGTCCCTCAGGAGTCCGAAGCAGAAGCTTTCAGATAGACATCGCAGTGGCAGCTGCGGCTCGCGTGTCCGTCGACCGGTTGTTCCTACTCCCAGAGCCTCTCCGGTCGTTGAGAAACAAGCGAATCGGTTCTTCGTTTTCATTCGTTCATCCATCCATTCATTCATTCATAATAATCGAATCAGATCGAATTACGGCAATCATGTAAACGAGGAATTCATGCGTTCGAGATCTGTGGTATTCGGTCCGTTCGCCTGCGTATCATTCGAAAACAGCGGAAAAGCACGGTATGGGACGCCGCTAAATTGGATTCAAAGCTGCCGCTGTCGGCGGACGCTGCTGGCGATGCGACCGCGGCGATTTGCAAAAAGAAATCGCCATCGAAACGAACCCGCTGCGAGTCCGATGTCGCTGCGGCCACCAATACTGACCGAGGAGCCTCGAGCAACAATGATCGATTCTTGCGTCGACTTGGCTGACTTGCGCGTCCGTAGGAGGTCTGTCAGGCGACATTTCAAACTGGCGTCGGCAGCAGATTAAGTGGATCGAAAGATGAATGCGCCGACCATGTTCGATACTGTCTTCTTCGGTTGCAGAAGCAGAAGCCATATTCCACGGGACATGGCTTAGAGCTCGGCGGGGTACTGCACCATCGACTGCCGCCGCAGCGGCAACAACATCGAGCGGAGATAAGCTCAAGAACGATGCGGGCAGCAGTTCAAGCGCATGGATCAAGTACCTTTCGAAAGCTGCTGCTGCTGCTACTACTGCCGTTGCTTGCTAAATAGTTCTATTTGCTTGCTCGGAGTCTGCTCGAGCCTCCGGACTTTTATTTTGAGGCCTCCTGTTGTGGCTCGCCCGTTCCTCCGGCTCGTCGCATATAGTCAGTCGTCGACTCCGTGGCGTGTGCTCTTCTCTCGACTTCCAACTCGAGTCGATGAAAGTTTTTGTAGTTTATGATTATGCCGACGTTTCCTCTGTCGACGATGACGCTCTCATGATCAATCGGTCCCCGGCGCAAAGACTGCGGATAGACACGAGTCAGGAAGGCGAGCGACGATTATGTGTTGGCACTGACGAGACAAGTAGCCAAGCTCGAGATTTCACCCGCAGCACATTCGCGCAACATTTTTCTTCCTCGCACCGGAAACCAGTGTTAAAGGTTGTCGATGTGAACCAAACCAGAAGCACGTCGGGAAGCGAAAGTCTCAACAAGAGTCGACGCGGGGTTTAACACGCCTCAGCTAATTACCAGAGGCGATACGAGTCAACAAATCACTGAATTGCCAATCGACTGATCGTGGATTCATGAACGGAACTCGCAGTGTCTTCTGTCTTAGAATGTTGAGCGGTGTCATTTTTTGGTCGTTCTATCTGTGTGCGCGAAAAGATTAACGGACAAGTCGACAACAGAGCCTGCATCAGCAGCTTACTTGTTTGGAATTCTCTGCGAATCCTCTTCATAAAGTATTCGTATTCGAGGACTCACAAAGTCAGCCTTTTGCCTCGACAGGCTTTTTGAAAGATGTGCTTTCTGGCCGCCGTCGTCGTTGTTGTTGTTCTCAATTTAGCTTTTTCTCTTCGGGGAAAAGCCATAAGAAGCGCTGCTGAACAACAACGACGACGACGACGACAACGATAACGAAGACCGGCACAGTACGGGCAAGAAACATTTCACCTACGCATGAGGCCCCCTCCAACTGTCAGAAGATGAGATCTTCATTTTCGCCCGCGATGTCAGTAGAGTGTGCGGGACCTGAGAAGTTTGTGGTTCTCCAATAACAACAGGAATAGTGACGGGCACAGACGTCGAAATGAGAAATGCGCACGTCCGAAATGAAGACCCAACAAGCGTCATGGGAAGACCACCCCACCGCGCCCTATCCGCGTAATCGAAGCGACGCGCCAAGCGCGCTCTTACACTAGACCGGTGTTTTCCACCGGTCCGAGGTGAACGCTGCTCGACAATTGTGGGAGATCGAATCCACTCAAGTCGATGAGGGCACTTTGCGCCTCGTCGAGCGACCGACCGAACGACAGGCCAACCTGCTAACGGCTCTGCCTCAATGACTTGAGAGACCACCAGTCCTCCGATACAGTGTTCTTGACACAAACTATTTTGAAGGTCCTCGGCGGACGAAGTGCTCTTCAAGACCGACCGACCGACGAATGGACGAACTAAGTGGAGTTAACACCGGAGTCATGCGGGACTTATCGCCTGCCTTGGCAACATCGAGGACGGGAACATTGCGCACACAGGTGGGAACAAGGAACAGAGGAAAAAGAAAGTAATCGCAGATAGAGAAATACTACTCACCAGATAACGAAGCCACCAGGGCGATGGATATGGCAGAAATGACAAAAAAGCTCGCGCAAACAACGATCAGAATCGGTTTTAGCCGGGTTTTCCGTTTGCTCTGAGGTACAGGAGGAACGGGTCGCCGCAGACTGTGGTAGATGTGAGGTTGATGCATTCCAAGGGTGCCCATCGTCGTTAGCGAGGGGTCGACCCCACTCCCTAAGTGACATGGAATCACCGAGTATAAGCGATCACTCGCCTGGAATAAAAGAGAAAGTATTAAGTCTTCGATAATGTCTTCTTTTCCCACTTTGTTCCTCTGGGACATTGTTCCACTGGTCTATCTAATCATGCCAGCTCGGGGTCTTTCCCCACGGCGATGGATTAAAGTCTCGAAACATGGGCGTCAAAGGCCAGACCCGGATTAGGCCGACGAGCTTTTTTTCCCTTCGCCCTCCCAGCCTGCAGTGTGGCCGCCTGTATCAGCCCCTGGTTTCTCTCTATTAATTTCGTTGCAATTAGTTTCCACACCCTCGCTCCGCACGGGCGGAGAGCTCGCCGGGGGAAAAAAACGAGAAGCTTTGGGAAAGATTTAAATTCGACTCTGTCCCTCTGAAAAACCACCTGGCTGTCAGCCACACCCGAGCCTCGACGAAAGAGACTCTGTCGAACATTACAATCATCAGCTTCCGGCGCCGCGCCGCCGTATAGCGACGGAGAACATTTGCGATGATTGCGCGAAACGATTGCGATCTCACGAGGGCCGAGTCGATTTCGGAAGCTCGACGGAAGAAGCATCATCAGTCATTTTTTTCCTCTCGGAGATTCATCAACAGCGTGATTCTCCCGCTCGCGCGACTACAAGCGATTGTGAGAGGCTTCTACGACGTCGGCGGCAGTCAGAGTTTCTCCGATAGTGTTCACGGCAGGTTCTCGGATTCGATTGAGCGCCTCAAGTCGGCTGCGATCGATAAGCTGAATGATTTGTGAAAATGGGATTCGTTGAGGTCAGCCCGAGAATGCGTCGTCGTCGCAACGCATAGCGATCAAATGCGATTGCTCGCCAGAGGCAGCTTATTGAAACGAATGACGGCGACATCTTCACGTGTGTTGTCGAGAAATTCTGCAGAGCATGAGCAACGACTTTCGAGCGGAACACTGAGCCCGCGTAGAGGATTTTTTCTTTTTTCCCCGATCGGCAGAAACTGAGTTCCATTTTGCAAACATGTGACATCCTTTCGGTTCTTTTCTCGGATGAACACACTGACGGGCGGCGGCAGACGGTCGAAAGGACGGACGGACTGACAACGCGGCTGCCAACATCCAGCAAAGCAGACCGAGAAACGGTAGAGCACCGTGGGACGACGGAGCGTCGTCGTCGTCGCCGTCTGTCCGTGCGTCCGCCCGCCGGTCGAGAGGAATTCTCGTCGTCCATTAACAGCGGCATCAAGTGTATACGATGGCGTCTGTCGGTTCGTCCCATTGGCTCGCTTGCTCGTCCGTTCACGTTGTCTAGCTGCTGTTCATTTATCCGCCGACCGACCGGCCGGCCGAGCAACAAGCGTTCCAAAGGAGCAGCGATATACAGCCAGAGAACTGCGCCTTCGTCGATAATTACGAATTAATTCAAATTTTCGCGCCAACAATCTTTTCGTTCGTCCCTCCGTTTGCTCGAAGTGACGGACCGACCGACCAGGCTGACAGCGGAGCAAGCAGTCAGGCAGGCAGTCAGTCAGGCAAGCCTCCTTGTTGGTCGGTCGCTCGTCCGCTCGGTGTTGGTGGTGGTAGTGGGTTGGGTGGGTTTTTTTGCGCTGTATCGTTCTGGAGGCCCTTCCTCGGCATCATAGTCGTCGTCGGACGGCACTCCCTGTGCTGTATCGGGCGACGGCGGGAGCGGGCCAACACTGTACACGGCATCTTAATGCCATCGGCTGTTCTGGCGATGCTCGCGCTGATGATCGAGCTTCTCTCCGGGCCGGTCATTGTAGTTGAAGTAGTAGTCGCTTACAGTCGCGGCCTTTCCCTAGTCCGAGAAGTTTGTTTATGGGAGCGTGTAGTCGCTGGCTATCTATTTTTAGCGTAGTAGTTGGTCGGCTGATTTTGTCCCGTGCAACGTCCGTCATTTAGGTTTCCCCTCCTACCGACTAAGTGCTACGGCGGCGAGACCCGTGCCAGCGTTTTTTTTCTCTCTTTTTCCGATGTAAATTACGATCTAGATTCGCCGCTGTTGACCCCTTGTTAGAAAGAAGAAACGCGGGCCAAGAAGAAAAACCGTAAATCTCCTCAATCCAACGGTCAGATCAACCAGAAGTCGACGACGCGAGATCCTTCGCGTTGGATCGTTTCTCATAAATGGCAACATGAAGGAAGCACCGAGCTTGCTCCGAATCTCGATCAGAGGAATGATGATTCGAATCGATGCCACTTGGAATGCGAGTGGAAGTCGTGAACGGGAACCGAATTTCCCGGCTCAGCAGTCGAGTCCACTTTCCTTGCCGGGAGGATTCTGCACTGTACAGTCCGGACATTGGAGGAGGAGGAATACATAGAGAGCGATCAGGGCGCTAATAATCGTCACGAAACCTCTCAAGTCGTAACCGTCCGCGGACGTCCCCGGACCGATCCGAGCTCCGCCATTGCGTCGTCGCAAGCACATCCCATCGACGTTTCAGCCTGTGGGGGGATCGTTGTCTGCAGGACAAGATTTCCGATGAATGAGAGCATGAATCGAGCGGGATTTTTTTGCAGTCGAAGTGTTTCGGCGAATGAGGACAGCGATCCCGTCAATGGCTCAATCGACGCATGAGTGCTCCATCGCATTCCACAAACATTTTGCAAAACTCATGATAGACGACTAACGAGGTCAAAGGCGATTATCGCGGATTTCCATTGAGACTTTTTTCTCGCTGCCGTCTTCCCGAGCGTGGGTCGCCGGGCGGTTTCTTGACGCGTCTTCACTGGAATATTTTTTCCCCGCGATTTACGATATACAATGCATGCTAAGCTCGAGCTTCTCGAAAGAGGAGCATTCAAGAGTTTCGGAGCCCTCCTCTAAAGCTTTCATGGGTCTTTCCCCGGTCCATCGACCGGTTTAATAAGTTCACAGCTGTTGCATCCGAGCGCGAAATGGAGAAACAGATCAACGGATAGAGATACTTGCTCCCAGCGAATGCAGCGTCGATGGCACGCATCCCCGACTGATGAGAGAAGAGTTTGTAAGCCGCCGTTTTTTTTTCCCCACGAGGCCATGTGTTCCTGAACATCTTCACAAGCGACGCTCCGAGTCCGCTGTATTTAGAGGATAAAATGGAATCGGTGAGGGAAAGATTCGAGAGAATCCCGGGTCCCGGGAAAATGGAACTCTGCTTCATCGATTCCGGCTCGGCCGGCTGAACTTTTGTTGATTAACTGGTAGGTGAGATAGGTGCACGGCGCTCGGATAGATAAGTTGCTCAGAGAGAGCTGGATGACGGAAGCAGTAGATGGCCCGTTGGCTGTCTCGCCGTAAGTCCATCCAGTCGACTGAACGTACGGCCGTCAAGCGGAGATAACTTAATAAACGGCGTGCACGTTCGAAGGAGCAATCAAACGGACGGAGAACATATGTTTGAATAGCCCGAGCTTCCTCTGTCCGTCCGACTCCTTCTCTTCTCTCTTCGTTCCTCTCAGGAGATGTTGTAATGCAGTTATGCTGCCGCTGCCGCCGCTACCGCTCTCCACTACCCAACAAGCTTGTCGGCTCTCTCTTCTCGGGCTCAATGATCCATCCAACGCTCATCCTGCCGCCGCCGAGGCTCCTTCTTCACCTCACCCCTGACGCTCGCATTGATGCCTGTTCGGCTTCCGTGTTCCTTCTCCTCAGAGGGCGGGCGCGGAGTAAGGTTCACAAGACGAGCGACAACAACAGAACTGATTAAAAACAGTCCATCCGTGCGCTGCTTGAACCATCTCGGATTCGCAGCGGATTTCCCCGCGCAGGCCCTGCGAGCCGCAGATGGACGAATGAAATTGCGAGGGAGCACTGGTGGGGGGGGGTTTGGGAACCGCAATGAATAAGCGAAGAAGCGGACGACCGAACAAACGGATGAATGCTCGCAAGATAAGAATAAAATCAAGCGAAACGATATCTGAGTAAGACAGGAGCATAACAGGAACGGAGCAAAAACAGTTGAATGTCCAGGAAATGAGATCCACGTCAGTGTCACTCCCATCCGAGTCCTGTCTCTCCCCAGCCATGGTGGAAACCAGGAGAATCCTGAATTTCTAAGACGTAATGAAACTCGCAAAGCTGTCACACATTCTTGCGATTGTTCTGTTCGGCGCTGCTGTTCAATGCGGAACACTTCTCTTCGAAGGTTCACGTCCCCAATCCAAATCGAGCCAAGCGACCTTCATTCACCTACTCGGATACGTTGACGCTCGTTTCCGAGAGAAAAATCATCATCTAGTCTTAGTCCAATGTGATGAATTTTCTCATGGATTTTTCTCCCCTCTTCACTCTCGACGTCCGCCCGGAACTCGGTTCCTGAATGAATTCCTCTTTCTTCTTTCGAAAAGGTCCCGAGTCGTTGGCGAAATTTCACCCCTTTGAGTAGACAGGAGCGAACAGCACCGCCACTACCTCGAAGTTTCGACGTGTTCAGGTCTGCATGAAAACGACGCTTTTTCTTCTCTCTGCTGCCTTTCAGTCGGTCCCCTGGTTCCTAATTAGCATAACAGAAAAAGCGTCGGTTGTCGACAACAGGAAAGCGATGAGTGGAGGGCGAGTGAGCCGGCGAGTGCACGTCAGTCACAACAGACGTGGTACATGCACACACTTAGGCACGCGAAGCACGAAGAAGACGACGACGGCGACGACGCCCGGTTCACCGACTGACCGAGCTGGAGTAAATCAGGCAGCAAGCGAATCCTAGGTATGTGCGTTAACGTCGGCTGTCCACGGAACCGCTAACGAGAGCGAGCCGGTGACATCGAGAAACGACGAGAAAAACGACAGAAAATGTCGCCGAGCAGGCACACCGGCAAAAAAAAGATTCTCATTCACGGTGGCACAGACGAGAGGCCTATCCGTCGGAATCGTTTTTTTGGGGTGTTTCTGTCGGTGACTCGCTCGATACGACATCAAAAATAAGTGTACAGCTCTATTGCGGAGGCAAAGTTCCGACCCGGGCGGCGTTCCCTTGTCGTTCTCGTGAAAAGAAAACGATGAACTTCTCAATACGTCGGTACCGGACGCCGAGACATTAACAAATCATGTTC